TTTTTGTTGTTGTTGTTGTTTTGAGACAGTCTCACTCTGTTGCCCAGGCTCAAGTGTCGTGGCATCAGCCTAGCTCACAGCAACCTCAAATTCCTGGGCTCGAGCAATCCTTCTGCCTCAGCCTCCCAAGTAGCTGGGACTACAGGCATGCGCCACCATGCCCGGCTAATTTTTTTCTATATATTTTTAACTTTTCTATATATTTTTAACTTTCTATATATTTTTAACTCTATATATTTTTAGCTGATTAATTTCTTTTTATTTTTAGTAGAGACTGGGTCTCGCTCTTACTCAGGCTGGTTTTGAACTCCTGACCTTGAGCGATTCTCCCTCCTCGGCCTCCCAAAGTGCTGGGACTACAGGCATGAGCCACCTTGCCCTGCCCAGAGAGCATTTTTGATTGTGACTTTATGAAATGAGTACTCCTGTAAAGGATTTTCTTAGGCAAATAGTATGAGTTAATTCTACATCGCAGGACCTGACATCCCTCAGAATAACCACACATCCCAAATATTCGCCCGTGGAGCACGTGCATCATGAGGCCTTATTCTACTGTTAGAGGAAAGAGATATTCCCAGAGGCCAGGGGGGTCTTGAACACCTTCTTTTAGAGTTGCTGATCTGTTCTTTCCAGCTCAGTGAATGTGGACAAGCAACACTCTCTGGGCTTATTTTCTTCCTCTGGGTGGACTGAGTGTTCTTGAACATTCCTTCAAGTTAAAAACAAAAACAAAAAAAAACCCAACCTCTGCTCTATTTGCCTGAGGGGGGGATCTATACCTCTGGACCCCTCAGTCACTAAGTGCAAAGCCACAGAGCCTGAGTGTCCACTGACTGGGGCACACTCACCCGTGCACCCGGACCCTTGTGCTGGGTGCTCTCTCACTCGGAAGCTCATTTTCAGTGGACTTCACTTCTCAGGTGACAAGAAGGCATTTCTGTCCATGCTGTAGGATTCTTGCCTAAAATTTCCAAGGACAGGTCATTGACTGTAATGACCACAACCTGTCCTAGAGCAATCTGCACGATGTTTCGGGGTGAGCTTGCTGTGAACTTCAGTCTTGACAGAGACTTTTTAGCCTTAATGGAAGGGCCTTTCAGACCGTGGCAGTGCTCATTAAAACTCAGGGGAACTGTTTATATTTTCCTGTCTGAAACTGGAATCTTATCTGAGGCGTTCTTGACAGCCTCCTGTGGTTGCACATGCTATTAGCAGTCTTCAGACTTCTTAGTTGCTGAATCCGATTCTTTTTATCTGGGTTCCAAAGTACCTCGTGAGCAGGATCCACTGTAGGCTGACTCGCTGGCATCCAGCTGCCTGATAGGTACAGCCCAAGAGATTCTGCAAACCTCTGCAAGGCAATTTTAGTGCTAGCCATTAGGTCACTGGACAGAAAGTCTTGCAAATTGCATTCTTGAATGAGTCTCCAGGTTATATACCCAGAGAGATTACTAAGATTAGGGAAAATGGGATACTTAAGAAACATGCAGTACAAATAGACCGTGTTTACTGAGACAGCATTCCAGTAGACACGTGGGTACCTGCTCTCCTTTCTGGGGCTGAGAACTTGGGAATTGCTTCTTTCTTTGCTCATCTCCTCTGTCCCTGTATGTTTTATCTTTTCATCACTACTGTTGGAAAGCATCCTGCTAGCACCATGCAGGAGGCCATCGTACAAATCCCTGCATCTATTATAAGAAAACATTCCATCGCCATTATTGTCGCCATCATCATCATCATCATCGTCACCACCATCATCATCATCATCTTATCCTGAACCACAATATTATGTTCTGGGAATCCCAGGTGCCAGGCCCTGGACTACATCCATTAATTTGAATTATTCAAATCATCTGTAAAGAGAGTATCATTATCCCTATTTTGCAGACATGACAAATGAGTCTTGAAGGTAAAATGATTTGCCCAAGTCCATGTGGCCATTAAATGCCAGAGCTGTGTATTTGGACCTGCTGTACCCTTCTCGGTGACAGCCCTGCACAGAGCAGTTAGGATGGTGACTCTCTCAACAGCAGGCCCCTTCTCCACTGTCACTGCCAAAGATGGTATTCAAAAGCTGCTTGTGGACGTGTGGAGTAACCCCAGTATTTGGTGGCCAGTTATGCTGCTAAACTCTATTACCAGAGTTAACTGTAAGTTAATTTCTGATGGCATGTAATAAACCATGTCATTTGATGCAGTTAAAATTTATTGGCTTGGAAATCCTTCCCGGACTGAGATCTGGTTCTTTGTGGTGTTCTAGGGGATGTACAATATCGATCCAAATGGTTCCCTCCTCACTGAATGTGCATGCCTGAAACACTATTGACTTACACACATTAGTCACTGCCAATTGTATTTTACATCTGCGGCCTAGATCTGACGCTTGCTTGCCCCCACTCCTGAGACATCCAAGTAGACGGAGCAAGATGTTCTGATGTTGCTAGATGCCATGGGACATGAGACCGGTGAACACCGTGGGTTCACTCCTGTCAGCCCCATGTGTTCATGTCTGTGCTGGACCCTCCGTGCTGGGACACCCTCAGGCAGGGCACATGTGCTGGTGTCATTGGTCTGAGAAGGTCCCAGTGGAGTTTAGTGTCACTAGTGAACAAAAATGTGGAAGACTGGCAGAAATCCCTGCCAGGTCACCAAATGAGTGCTGTGTCCACTGGTGTTTAGATGTCATGTTCAGGCACGTTAATAGTGAGTGAGGATTATTTCACCCATACCACTCACGGGAAGACAACACACAGTGTGTCCACATGCCAAGCCCGCCCGTGAGCGGCCAGGCTGCATCAGACTCAGCTCCCTACCCCATGAGGACTTCTTGCTAAGAGTGGTCAGAGAATATTTGAGAAACCTTTATTGTACAATTGAGATTTTTTTTCTTTAATGATCTAGAACTGAGGTCAGTAACATTTTTTTTTTTTTTTTTTTTTTTTTGGTAACGGGTCAGATAGGAAATATGTCCAGCTTTATGGGCCATGTGATTTCTGTAGCAACTACTCAACTCTACCGTTGTAGTGCAGAAGCAGCCGTAAACAATGCATAAGTGCATGAGTGTGGCTGTTGCCAATAAAACCTTATTTACAGAAACAGGCAATGGGCCAGATTTGGCCTACAGGCTGTAAATTACTGACTTCTGATTAAGAACTCAAATAAATCCGTCCTTCAAGATAAACTTTACCCTGTTTACTGGTGTTGCTTGTTAGATTCCATAGAAATCAGACTCTGAGGTCTGATTTCCAGGAAAGGAAATTTATTGGGATTGATGGGAAGGGTATTGTGGGGACTGATGTTGGCAGTGACACCTGTGGATGGGAAGGAGAGGGAGCAGGACCAGGCAGAGGGAGAAGGTGCTCTGTGGTGCAGTCACCATGAAGGCCTCAGCCAACCTCTCAGGAAACCCTGAATTCAGGATGGCCCTTCAGTTATTCTAAGTTAAGGCAAGAGGGCTTGGCCTTCACATCCCTGGGAAGGGTATGTGACCTTGGGCAAGGTTGCTGTCTCCAGCCTGCCAGTTGCTAGAGGGCAGAGTGCCGAGGGCTGCCTTCATGCTGGACTCCCTGGGGGAAGGAGGCCTTAATCCTGCAGGGGATCTTAGCAGGGCAATACAGTGCATGTCACAGTTGGCCATTCCACCTCTCAATCTACTTTTCCCGCTCTGTGACCCCATAATTCTCTGAAACAACTTAAGGATCTTGCTAGGCTACATCTGGGGCAGGGGATGGGGTCATGGACTATGGACCTTAACCCCTGTAGGAAGGGGACAGTGGATAATTCTCATCTCCTACTCTTGACATTGTTCATTCGTTTAGTACCTATCCATTGGACAATTGTCCAGGAATGGGAGCGATGGCTTGGACACAGACAGGGGCAGTGGGGGAGGTGTTGGGAAGTGGCCAGATTTGAGCCAGCAGGGTTTGCTGATGGGTCAGGTGGTTTGGCAGTCCACCAGTGACTGGGCATGCCTGCAGGTGTGTGTGACCCTCTCTGGGTTTCCCGAAGCTGCCACCACCTGGCCAGCTTCCCAACTAGATGGGAAGCTTGTCTGCTGGTGGCTGCAGAACTGCAGGCCATCCTGCTGAAGAAGTGGGTGCGTGGTTGAGGACTGGGTAAACAATCATATGGTGCTCTTTTCTTACCTTGTGTGAAGCCAGAAGAAAATTGGGCGGAATGAGTTTTTGTGTTTTGCTTTATGGTTACCAGCAAGATAAACCAGGGAGTGTTAGAATCAGCTAAAGAATGGACAAGAAACTTGGACTCCTGCTAATTAGCAACAGCTGGAGGGCAGGCATGAGCGAGAACTATGGCCAGGAGGCAAAATCCAGCCCTCTGCCTGCTTTTAAATAAAGTTTTATCAGAACGTGGCAGTGCTTATTTATTTACACATTATTCTGTGGCTGCTTTCACACTGCAATGCCAGAGTTGAGTGGTTGTAGACCTCGGGCCTGCAAATCCAAACATCATTACTATCTGGGTCTTTATAGAAGAAGTATGTGACCCTCTGTCTAGGGTAGGCTCTCTGGGTGACCTTGGGCAGGTCACTTTCCTACAGGGTCTCTTTGTCTATGGGTTGAGAGAGGTGGCCCTGATTATCTCATGAACTCTTCTCTCCTCGTTTGTTTATTCACTGGGGGGCTTGTGGTTTTCTGTCACAGGAGCTGTCAGAAAAGCCCGATTTCAGGCTGATTCTCGGGATGTTGAGGAGTGATGCTCAGAGTCGGAGGGGCGGCCCCCTTTTTCTCGACCTCCTTGCCCTGTGTACTCTGCATTCTCCCTGCCTCTTCTGTCCCTTCCCAGCTCTCTCTGACCCTCTTCCCCTCCCCTACGTGCAGGTGCCACTGCAATTCGACCTTGGCCTCCGGCTCACCCGCCTCTTTCCACATCCGCAGCAAGATCAGGCACTTCTGTGTCACCTGCTGTCGTCACGCAGTGGCTGGGGCACACGTCCGGCCCTGGCACCTCCTGCTAGCACCTAGACGGCCTCCCCCACTCACCTGGCATGGATGTGTCAGCCGTGGTACCAGGCACCAGGCTCGTCTCTGGTTCGGTGGTGCTGAAACAAAACTCAGATACAGTCTTCTCACCACGCAGGTTGCAGTCTTAACATGATTTCATAAAGGTCGCTGTTCTTCTCGGAGACGGCACGTTCCTGGGGTCAGGACGCTAGCCTGAGCCTTTGGCATTAATCTCTCCGTGCCCATCAGAGAGCCGCGGAGCACAGCGTGGGCGCCCTGCCCCGTGTGCCGGGCGGAGGGAAGGTCATGCTGATGACCCAACAAAGCCCACGCTGATGTCAGGGCCACCTGAGTGCATCTCCGTCCTCAGGCACCCCTCCCTGTGAGCACACCCGAAACCTCTCCGGCAAAGAAAGGGTGGGGGACCATGTGAGAGTCACTATCAAGAGGTAGGTTGTGAAAAATTATAGAGCCCCCACTTGATTTTAAAACTGATATTCAAAATATTTGGGGGGAATATTTCAAAATAGCGTTTCCCTCCCTCTAGGAACTCAATAGGGACAAAATTAAATGTCGTCATGAAACAACTATTATCCTTCAGATGGTTAAGTTTGATGTTAAAGAAGGGAAAACATATGAACAGTGTTGCAAAAATATTTTGAAGTGGTTTTCTAAAAAAATTTTGTCTATTTAACTCTTGGTAAGTCTTGAGATTGTGCCATTTCCCCCATAATCATAAATAGATTTTCAGATCATGCCCTAGAGTTTTACAATATCTAAAGGTTACTCATTTCAGCCATACCAGCTAGCTTCAAGGGGATTTTCTGTGTGTGCGTGTCCTTTTTTCTGAGTAACCCTTTCAGTTGTGTGCATGGGGTATGTCCGCTAGTGCTTAGGAGACAGTCATGGCTAATGGGCCATTTGCTCAGGTTTGCCAGGAATAGATTAAGAGAAATGGATTCAAGGCCTGAAGCAGGCTGACCGGATAACGGTCAGATCTTTTAAATTAGGAAACCGCAGAGCAGCCATCTCTACGTGAAAAGCGGTGATAATCGGGGTAACCTAGCAGAAGCAACTCGGGCTGGGGAAGGAGACGCATCAGAGTTTCATTTCAAACTCTGCTAGTTGCTCGCTCGCCCTTTACAAGGTAATTGCATGAGGAGCACCCAGAAATTCAGGCTCCCTGGCGGGGATGCAGGACTGCTTTGTAATTATCATTAGTCTCCAGGGCCATCCCAGCCGTCTGCAGGAAGCCAATTAGATATAATCTTGGAAAGAGGAAGTGGTAGTTGTATGATGAATTGTGTAGGGAAAAATATTTCTTGATACAAATGACCTGGAAAATAGGGGGGACATGTGGGAAATAGATGGTGTGTTTAATTCCTTTGGTTTGGTGAGTTTTTGCTATTTCCCTAATAATCTTAAAGTAAAGCTCAGCTCATGTCTCTCTGTAAAATGTGATTTGCTCTTCAGGGTGAATGACTGACAATGAATGAAGATGGTAGAGCCAGCCCATAAATTCAGCTTAAACTATGTTTTTCAAAATAGTTTGTATAATAGTTAAATATAGAAATATTTTTTCATATCACTATGAGGTGTAAATTTATCAGAGAGTGGAGAAAAGGTGCATTTAACCAGGTGAGGGCACCAGACACCTTTGGGGCACTTTTTCGAAGCACTCACGCCTATCCTGTGCTGGCATGAGTGTGTCTGACTCAGTGGCTCTCTGCTTGAGACCCCGGTTCTGGAGGACAGCACGTCCCTCTGCTATGATCTTGCTGCTCACCTGTACAGGAGTGATGGGCAGAGTCTTCAGGCTGAGGTCCCTGTGAGGTCCTGCAGGGCAGGTGCACAGGACAGGTATTCTCTTTGCAGGGAACACAGCCTTTGTCATGCCTCTTAGGGTTGGAATCTGCTCCCTCCAGTGCCTATCCTGATTCTTGACATAAATGCCTTGTAGGAACATCAATGGCTGCTATGCCTGCAATCAGAAGTAGAAGACAAAAGCTATAAAAATTCAGGTTTCTAAAAACCATTTTCTCAATTGGTGGAAGCATCTGCACACAAGGACTGCACCATTGTGGTGTCCTGCAGAACTATGTTCATTTTCTTTGTGCTTCGGTGTCGTGCCGGAAGCCTGCATCAGGCATGTGGGCCGTTCATACTTACCATCATCAGACAATGTTATTTATGTGGGCTCCTCAGGGGAAAAAAGTCTCAGCTCTCCCTTTTTCCCCCAGAGTTGTGCATCTTCGAGAAACTCTAGTTTTTCTCTCTCAAGAGCATTTGACCCATGCGGCAGCGATTGTTTCTCCTTCTACATTGTTTGTTGAAAATTCAGAGCCCACTTGGAGGCCTATCTTTTGCAAATCTTTGGCATTTCATGCTGACATTTGGCATGCAAAACTCACTCCTGACTTTGGCTTATTTTTCCCATGTACAAATACTTAATAAAGGGAAAATTACGTAGTTTAACTTAAAATCTCACTCTCCAGGTAGGATACCAAATCAAAGGACAAGGCTTGTGGTTCAATAAGGTGGTTTGGAGTCTTTGGTGTATATCCAGCAGAAGAATGGCTCTGGTGTTTTAAGAAGATAGAGGCTTGTCCGCTTTTGCATATGAGTGGACCACATTTAGGTATTTTTGATCAGATGGCCTATGTAGATGGTAAATAAATGACTTTGAGTTTCCTTGGCAACCTCTCCTGCACCCTCATACGCATGCTGGAGCATGTAAGAGCAAGTGAACCATTCCGGTGCAGAAACTAGAGCCAAAGGAACCAGCAGCAGTGGAGCATCAGACCCCAGCCAGCAGAGTTTGAGAGGGTGGTCCACAAAATGCATTGCATCTCAAAGGGTTGTACATCTGGGAGATGCCACTTACTAGATATCAGGGAGAATTTATGCTGATGTAATTCACTGTGTCAAAGCCTGTCATGAGTGTCTCGGCCTCTAAGTCTGCCTTGGCTGTTGGCACGGCCAAGGTCTAACATCATCCACAAAAATGCTGCTTAGAAAAAGGGTTTAAATGGAATCAGTCTCCTCCATTCCTTTGCTTTTCTATTGCTTTTTTTTCTTATTGAAAACATAAAACGTGCACTGTAAAAATTAAAATATTATAAATAAGCAAGGACAAGAGAGTGAAATCAACCATCACCCTACTACTAGCCAGAGAGATAGCATCACTGTTGATATTTCAGTAGATCTTCCCAAATGGATCACTTGGCTTCTCTCATAAATACAACAAACTTTTATTTTTTCTTTATACGTTCTTTCTTTTCCTTTTCTTAATAAAAAGAGGGTCATGCAAAGCACAATACTGTTCTGGAAGGCTTCTTTTTCTGGACATTGGGTTGTGAAGTTCCATTTCACATGTTATGTATTTCCCTATTAATATTATTAATATTAATATTATGTAATGCTTACAGAGGCTTCCAGTGAATAGATTTATCTAAACTGCTTTTTAAAACCCTTATTGTTTGACAGATTGTTTCCACTTTTACGTTTTTATAACAATGTGTTGATAAATGTTCTTGGAGAGAAATGAGGGCATTTCATATAATTTTGTTAAGTCAGATTCCTAGTATTTCTGGTCTAAGAATAGGCACAATTTAAAGATTTTTTTAATATTGATTTCCAAATGACACTCCAATTTGTACTATCTGTCCACAAATATCAGCTTCCCTAGACATGCACGGGCATTGGATATTGTCATTACAAAAATTTCCATGCCATTTTGATAAATGAAAAATGACATTTATGACATATTAATTTGCATTTTTCATAGAGATATTGAACTTTCTCATATGTTTATTATACATCTGTATTTCTTCTTTTGTGAATTGCCTCTATTTTCTTTGCTTTTCTTTAGTCTTTCTTTAGTCTTTTCTTACTTTGCCTTTTTCATTGGTGTTAAAATTATCCCTTTGTATTTAACTTTTTAATGTTGTTTATAGTCATTATTAAAACTTTGAAATTTGAAATAATTTTCTATTAACAGAAGAGTTACTCGGGTAGCACAGACAGCTCCCACATGTTCTTCAGTGAGCTTCCCTTTGTGTGAGCATCTTACACATAGCCACAGTGCGTTTATCTGACACAGAGTTTCTTAGCCTTGACGCTTTGACATCTCGAGTAGGATAAGGGGGCGTCCCATGCATCAGCGCATGTTTAGCAGCACCCCTGCCTCTACCATAAGATGCCTCCCCTCTTTCCCTAGAACACAGCCAAAAATGTCTCCAGGCATTGCCAAATTTTCCCCAGGGAGCAAAATTGGCCCCATGTGAGAACAACTGATGTAAACTAAGCAATTAATACCGGTGCAATACTATGAACTAAACTGCGGACTTTTCTCAGATTTTACCAGTTTTTCCACTAATGCCCTTTTTCTGTTCCAGGATCCAATCCAGGATGCCACCTTGCATTTAGTCATCATGTCTGTTTCTGGTAATTTTTGACATTCACATTTTTTATTATATTCTTAATCTTTTCCCCTTTGTCTTTTCACTGACGGACTTAGGAAGGCCTTCCCCAGCCTGTGCCCCTCTCTAGAACTTGTATTTCAATCTGTAACCCCTCTGGATGTGTTTCCTGTGGGGTATAAGGTCTATTTTTCCCTAAATGGTTTGCCAGTTGTCCACCAACCATTGATGAGATAATCCGTCATTTCTCTACTGGTTGGAAATGTCAATTATATACCAAATTCTTGTTTATACAAAGATTTCCCTGACTCATGCAGTTGTTTCCTTCTAGAAATTTTCATGCAATTTGGATATTGTGTGTGAATCAAAGAAGCTGCTCTGTTTTCCTCTGTGAATTTGAAAGATGGGGAGTCTTTCAGATGCCTCCAAATGTGAATGGTTGGCACTTGGCGTATCTCATTACTGTAGGAGTTAGGTAGTGAGAGACTCTGGCTGCCATCAATTTATTTCCAAATTTTAATTTCATATTTTATAGAAGAACTCCAATCAGGCCCTGTACTCTGTTATTTATTTCTAAATTGGCTATTTCAAGGCATAATATACTTACGTTAAATTGCACACACTTTGTTTATATACCCATGCAACCAACACCACAGTGAGCTGCAAATGATTTCTATCCCCTCAAAAAATGTTGGCCCCTTTGTATTCAATCTTCCCCCACACTCAGCCCCAGGAAACTACTGATCTTTCTGTCACTATTCTAGAACTATATAAATTGAAGCAAATTGAGCTCTCTCTCAAATTACTCTTCTGTGTAAGGTTTCTTTTCCTTTTGAAATTCTTCCATGTGGATTGTGTCTTTAATTTTTCTTGCAATGTTTTGTAGTTTTCATGATAAAGGTCTTTCACATATTTTGTAAAATTTATCCTTATTTCATATCCTGAATGCTACTATAAGTGAATGATATTAAATTTTTAAAAATTTTATTTCTAATTTTTTGCTTGCATATAGGCATATATAATATAT